TTTGCTTCCTGGAACCTTTCATAAGAAATCTCAGATTGGACTCTTAAAAGCCTCTCAAGCCTAGGAAGCCAAGCCAAGGACTTGCCTTCAGACTTCGTCTGCAATACCTATAAATTTCGGTTAATTCCTCTCTTCTCAAGGTCCCCAAAATATCTTGAAATATCTGAGGCTGCCAGGAAATGACCCCCCTTACTCAACTGGTAAGGCTGTTAAGAACTCTGTAAACAATGTACCAGGCTGTTTCTCCAAGGGGTTTTCTTGGCTTCGTAAAGTCAATCTTAGTTCCCTAAAACTGTCTAGTCATATCTGATTCTATGCACATCATTATCAAATATGACATTCCAGTCAAAGCCTTGGTAATATAACCAATGTTTCCAAATGTGTCCTGTTACAAGGAGAATATATTCTTACTGAATTTCCACAAATATTTATATTGCCATAAAAATAAGAATACTTGCTAAGAGTTTCTGAATTCTGGAGGGATCAGGTAGGGAGAAAAAGTAATTGTTTTATCTTTGTTCACAAAGGTATAATTTAGCAAATCACTGTAAATCATAGATAGGTTAAGAGAAAAATATTTCCTTAAACCTGGAAAAACAAAACATTAAGAAACAGCAATGTTTCAAAGAAAAAGTCATAAAAAATTATAGTCATTCTCATCAGTTTATTCAGTCCCATGGAATTAATTTTTGTTGATTTTTATCTTTTGCTTTCAGTTTTCTAAAGCCATCAGTTTTTCCATTACAGTTCTATAAATTCTTACCCAATTCAGTGGTATGATCTGAAAGTTATCAGAAATCTGTACTTATCAGAGTCCTTTCCGTGAATGTCCTGGAAGATAAAGCACTTTTACAAAAGCATTAGAGTAAAATAATAACTATCTGTAAATGACAAAAGACTTCAAAACGGCCATGTTGAAAGATCTGATGAGAGTTCATTATAATGCAATTGACAAGAGAATTTGGTTACTTCCATGACATACATTTTAAGATAACTAGAATTATAACAGATAACACTATACCACGGCACATCAGATTTCTAGGAATTTCATATAATTTCTGGAACACTTATATTAATAACATACATCTATAAGAATATAACCTAAGGAAGGTTTAACATCACTGCTTGTTTGACAATGCTTCCCATGTAATTTAACATATCGAATAAGCCTAATTAGTGTTACATCTTTTTTTTAAAATAAAGAGACAAACTAAATCTTTTAAGATGTTCCAGGAGCCCTCTGGAGAATCCCAAAGTTAGTTCAGAATTCAAAACAAAATGAATTTTATTTTTAGAAGTTTGTCAAAAATATCAAAAAGTTTTGTACACTTGGCTAAATAGGATCACAGATCATCATGAAACAATACTTAATTATCTATTTAACCAAAGTTACCAATAAACAATTTACAAGCAGATACAGAAGGTTACATAGTTGCGAGCAAAACTTAGCTCTTTTAATGTTGAGAAGATCTTTGTTTTTAAGTAACAAAACGCTGATAAAGACAACAAGACGCACAGGAAATTATGTTAGTAAGATACAAAACCTTTGCTTTCTAGATAGATTACTTTAAAAGTACAGAAAAAAACCTTCACAGTCTCTTATCAAGAACAGACCAATAGTCCAAGAAAACTTGGTCCTTTTAGCAGATGAAAGAAAATTAAATTTTAGTTTTACATAAGTACACTAATGATATTAAAGCTTATTATTAAACCCCTTATGATAAATTCATTCAATTTTAGCCAGCTTGACTACACAAAGGTTCTCTCTCTTCCTCTCTCTCTCCTCCAAACTTTCTACATCCATTTAGTTTGTCCTTTATTCTCCTCTTTCTCATTCTGAAACAGCCAGTTATTCAACCTCAGGACAAAATTCCTCTTTTTCCTTTAACAAAAACACATCTCCATAACTGATATATTTTCTTAGCCAAAAACACATTCTACCTTCCTTGCATAGAGAATTGTTTCTCTTATTATTTTATATTAGTTTTAATTACACACATTAATAGAATTCTTTACTCTTAGAAACCTTAATTTCTACTGAAAACTAAGTGAGCAATTATGAACTGCCTGTTACACCAGCATTCCTTAGATTGGCAAATTTATAAACACATTTCATAATTTCTGGAAGTATACGCAACCTCATAGTATATTTTTTCAATGTGGCACAAAATATATTACTAACAGACCCAAATATCTTTAGCTCCTCCATAATAGAAAGCCCAAAGTGGGTCAACTTATGTTCAGTAATTAATGTTTCAGTATTTGATGTTATTTAGAAATGATGTAGATATTCAATGAATTTCCATCATGTAACTCATCTTAGCAAAACTCTAAGGGTGTAAGTTACCAAAGAGATTTGGGAAAGTATTTAATTAGACATATCTTATTGTTGAAAAGTTCATTTATAAACTTTTATCTTACTTACACTTATTTAATTCACTTGCTCTTAACAATTATGTTTAGATTACTCATGAAAATTTCATGAGACATTGCACTAAGTTAGCCAGCAACCTAAGTTATTTTTCTTGCTGATAAATTTTGCAACAGAGACAACATGAGTTTATTTAGTTAGTAAACCCAGTTAGAATAAAAGTTATCTGTCTGCATTATATTTAATGCTGATAACTCTGAAGACAAGCCTACTTTAATTAAACCAACAAATTTAAACTAGCTCTTATTTACCGAATATTATCCCAGATCATGTGAACCTGACAAAGATTTGGGTTAGTTTCTATATTTCTGAGAGTTTGGGGAATAGTTAATTTATATAAGTGCTTACTTTTCTTTAAGCCTATTAAATAGAGCTCTTTTTCAAATTAATTTTGGCCATACCATCGGGAGTCACAAAAGTATCACATATACATAATGTAGATCTATAAACATATAAACAGACAGACAGATGCAGAGACCTTATAGTTTTAATTCTAAAATGTTAGCCATAAATCACATACGATAATACAAAACTCACTAGTTTATAAATAATGCTTGAATCAAAATTGTGTTTCTAACAGATGGAATAAGTTTATCAACTCAGATGACTAAAGCTTTTTTTAACTAACATTTATGTAGAAGACTTTTAAGATTTCTATTCATCCTTGACAGGTAATGTTATGGAGGCTGTGGACTAGATTTTGGGCAAGGGAGCTTTTACAACAATTTATGTATATATATATATTTTTTTTTTTTTTGAGGAAGATTAGCCCTGAGCTAACATCTGCTGCTAATTCTCCTCTTTTTGCTGAGGAAGATTGGCTCTGAGCTAACATCCATGCCCATATTCCTCTATTTTGTATGTGGGATGCCTGCCACAGCATGGGGATAAGTGGTGCATAGGTCCATGCTTGGGATCTGAAGTAGCAAACGCCAGGCCGCCGAGTTGAAGCACACAAACTCAACCACTATGCCACCAAGCAGGCCCAGCTGTTTATATTTTTAAATGCCTCTTTTCCCTTTTTTTTTCTTCAGTCTCAGGAAACTGCAGGTAGTGTTTCAGTTATCTCCTTGAGTGTTTATATTTCAAATACATCGTTAAGATTTACATTTTCAGGGGCCAAGAAAGAATGTAAGTTTTCTCCTAGAGTCTTTGTAGTATATTTGTCTATTTTCAGAAGTCTAGGGTAATCACTATTTAAATTTCTCCTTCTTTTTCTTAAGTGCAGGGCATTTCTGTCTCCAATATCCTGATCTTTTACAATATTTACAACATTCTGAGAAGAATAGAGGAGGTTTGGTGATTGGTAAGATTGAGAAAACTCTGAATTGCTTCTAGAGCCACATTTATGGCTTTGTAAAGACTCAATTTGTAAGATATGGACAGTTGCTTTTAATTCCTCAAAGAATTGGGTTGCAGCCTGAATGATATCAAGGGGCTGACCCACCCATCTAAATACATTTCTTTTCTATTTGCTCCTTTATATCAGGGAGAAGATTTCCAACTGTTATGGAAATTAAAAGATTCCTATGTTCTAGATTTAGAGCTATGTGTCTTTGGAATGTCTTAAAATTTTTCCACAAAGTCTTCAGGATGTTTTCTTCTCCTTTGAGTACATAGTTTTGTTTTGGCTTAGGAGAGAAGGCCTTAAAAAAATGTTCCTATCAGGCTCCAAATATCAGCCTCCAATTTGGCCAACTTCTGACTATAGAGCTACTTAAAAAAAATCCTTTCAAATATCTTATCGAGTTTCAGCCAGGACAAACAGTAATTACTCCTGGTAGTCTTGAACTCCTTTTTTCCCCATTTTTTTTTTTTAACTAAAGGTAAACCTCAAGTGACTCAACCAAAACCAATGAGCCTTTTATGACTTAATCATTGACTCAAGAGGTGTCCCCAAAGACAGTGCAAAAGATACAGTCCTCCCAAGATCGAAAGCTATTCCCAAAGACAGCCAAAAGAAAGAAAGACTTAGACAATTCACCTGAGAGCTGGCAGCAGTTGGTAGGACAAACCACAAATGGGGTGCAACCCACATTTGTCTGGCCATATTTTCAGGGCCCCTAATCTGACAGTTGAGCTGCCTACACATGTAGAACCAATAACTTGCATGCCTTGGGCAGGCAGAAAGCCAAGCCAAGTTCTCAGATCATACAACAAGATAAAAAGGAAAATAATAGCTGTCCCTGGGAGGAACAGGATCAATAACCAATGGGTACCCAAAACCAAATATTAACCAGAGTCACAATCCAAACAGCAAATTCTAACAAATGTTTTTCTCCTTCTAATCTGAATTTGGAAAGGAAGGTACAACATGAAAGTTTTACCTTTCTCTCTCAACTAGACACAGATCCAGGAGAGCTGGCTTTGGTAAGAATTCTTACCCTGTGCTAGCTTCTGCCAGTTTTTCAAGATCTCATCTGCAGGCTCCAGAGCAAGCAGGATATCTCAGCAGGTCTCGTAATGGTCATCAAATTGTAGGGGAGGAAAAAGAATTTTCCCTCTATCCTTCTAGGTTCTTGACTGAGACCTCCCTATAATAAAAAGACACATTAACAGGAGGGGAAAAAAACTATTTTAATTACATATGTACAGGAGACCCATAACGATATGAGACTCAAAAGGCAGCCAGGCACTAAGGTTTATATACTATCCCGAGCTCAGTAAAGGGATAGCGGCCTGGAGCTTCAAAAGGTAGGAAGGCAATTCACAGGAAGCTGAGAAGAGGACATGGATCGTAAATAATGTTTGCCCTTTCATGCAGTTGTGTCTCTCAGATAAACAAATGATCTCTAGTAGTAGCTCTGTTCCTGGGACAGGCCCCCTTTCTAATGTAAAATTGCCCTTACAAAGGGGAAACTTCTCCTCTGATTTCAGAGCTTCTTCTATCTCTGCAGTTTCTCAAAATAATCAGCCCAAAATATTTATGCCAAAGAGGCATATTTTGGGGTGGCATATTTTGCTACCCTTCAATAACAAAGGTATGCATAATGGACTATGGGAGCACAGAGGAATAAATGATTAACTAAAACTACTGAGGAAGGAATAATTAGTACTCAAGCTCAAGGTCAAATGATGAATAGGAATTTTGCAAGTTTACCAGGGAGCGTGGTGGGGATTAGGGGCTATCAGCGTACAGTAAGGGAAGAGGTGATGCAAAGACTCGCAAGCATGGAAGAACAAGGCTTATTCGGAGACCAACAAGAATTTGGTATTTCTACTGCTGTATTCTAATCCTACACAAATGTTTATTTTATTGTCGGTTTATCTTCAATACATTCCATGGTACCTGGCACTTATTTGGTAAGTATTCGATATTTTTTAAATAAATAAGTAAACAGAATAGCTTTAAGATCTCTGAAAGGGAGGTTGAAAGTCTGATTCCTAAGTGCAATTTTAATCTTTTTTTTTAAAGATTGCTGAAAGTTAATTACACCCACTACTTCCTAGATAAGGAGAAAGAATTAGACCGTACATTGTAACTCACACGCTACAAAATTCACTTAAAAGTGAGAAGACCTGGGTCAATCTCTAGAATGGTGGGGAGAAGGGACTCAGAGTTGCCCCTTGACTATGATTTTTTTGCCCTGTTAAATATGCTGTTTGTACATTCTGAGAAAATACAGAATTTCAGGGGATAGACGTTGAAGTTGGTCTGAAAAGCAGGATTTGGTTTTAAATTATTCATTCAACTAATGTGTTTGTGGGACACTGTGCTAGGCCCTGGACACACAATCCTGAGATAGATATTATTCCAATTCCTTAATAATTTGACAGTCTTTTGGCAATCAGAAGGTAAGAAAACTACTGCAATGTAGTATGTGACACAGATTAGAGCTGTCACTTTGTCCTCTCTCCTGCATTCATTCATTTGTGTCCCCATACCAATCTGGACTCGGAACTCAGCACCTCCACAGGTTCTCCCACACCAGGCTCCAACAACTGGAAAGAAGTCATCGTTCAGATAGTGATTTAATAAGAGTTGTGGCTGTGTACTGCAACTTGTTTCAAACAGTTTCATCCTGGACTCCCCCAAGGTTAGCCAGATATAAACTGACCGTTTGTCTACTTTCTGTTTTGCATGTGCAGTCCCTGTTTTTGCTCTGCACCAACCAGATTCAAACATGGAACCTCTTTCGATTCCACCAAATGAGTCCCATTCACACAAAAACTTTTCACACAAGCTAGATTTCCCTGAGAATTTGGGGAGGGACAGCGGAAAGGAAAGGAAAGACTTTACATCTTGCACCCCAAAATAAGTTGTTTAAAATGCATGTAATTTGATTTCTGTTCTCCATGACCACGCTAACATGGACATGTGGGGACGGGCTTCTCTCCCACTCTCCCTTTCTCTCCCTCACCCCTTCTCCCCTTCACCACCTCTTCCCATCTCCTTTCCTCATGTGGTACCTAGCCTTGTTGGGTCATCTCTCCTCTATTATGCAGAGTAATGAAGTCCTGAAGGAGTTCCTGCTTCGAAATTTTGTACTTGGTGCTCAGCAAAACAAAAGCTACCAGCCCCACCGCCCCACCCAGCTAACATAACCAATATTTCTTAAGGGCATTTTACAGATTATGTTCGTAACATAAGCATATTCTTATATAACCCTTCAGCTATCCTAAGTCTGCTTCTAAAAGACAGGCTGAAGAATCAATTTTTATGCTTCTCATTGTAATTGCGGCAAGTGCTATAACTGAGAAAGTAGAGCACAGTGAGAGAACACATGAGGGCCATCTGACTCCCATTTCAGGGTCCTGGAAGGAGGAAGCAATAATCTTCACTAAAACCTGGATAGGTAGCCAATAGGTGGGTGATAAGTTTGGGGGTATGAGTTGTTGGTTATGAGAGAGAAAGAAGAAAGTGGTTCACAAAGGAGGAACAAAGTCTCAGAGACCTATTACAAGTTAAAAATAGAACAATGAGCACAGAGAGATTCACTCCTTACTCCATTCCCTCTCTTGTGTCTTCTCTCCTAGGGCACTCATCATGTCCTCAAATATACTGTTTCAAAAAATATTGCTGATGTTGATGTCTCTTTTAGTAGTTGCCTGGATGATTTTCATGATTTCTCAAAACTCCAGAAAGGTAGGAAGATTTTTCTCCAGTTTGACCTGAAGCTTCCAGCAGTGTGACCTGTCTCAAGTCAGTCCCCACCAGCCAAACCCTTCCCCTCCTTTCCCTATCCAACTCTGCTCTTCCTTCTTCCCTTCTCTACCTAATTTCTCAGAGGGATTGTGGATACTATTTCCATTTCCTTACTTCCCATTCATTTTCAATCCATTCTAATCAGGATTCCATCTCCAACATGCCCCCAAAATGGCCCTTGTTAAGACCATTGATGACTTTCTTGTTACTAAATCCAGGTGAATATATTACTTGACGATGTAAATCCAGGTTTTCATTTTGTCTTATTTTTTTTTTTTGTCTATGATTTCTTTTTCCACGCAAAAGTTATTTTTAAAGTAATCCAGTTTCCTTCATTGTTTCTGTATATTGAGTCACAGAAAAGTTCTTCCCACTCTAAGGTTGTACAGGAATCCACCCAAGTTTTCTTATTTTTTTACTTAGTTCCATTTTTTATGTTTAAATATCCAATCCACTTGGAATTTATCCTGTTGAATGGCATGAGGTATTGATCTCACTTCACCTTTTTCCATATTGGCTGTTCAGTTATCCTAATCGCCTTGTTTAAAATTCCATTTGGTACCCCCACCAATTTTGAGTGCTGCCTCTATAGTATACTAAATTTGTATTTATAACGAGGTCTTTTTCTGATTTTCAGTTCTGTTCCATTGTCTTTTCATTCATGCACCAAACACCCTATTTTAATTATAGAGACTTTATGAGTAGATTTTAATATCTAGTAGAGCTAATCCTACCCACACCTACCACCCCTGCTTTTTTTTTACCCTCCATATATTTATGGGGCTATTCTTTCCTATTTGCCCTTCAAGTGAATTCTCTAATTAACTTGTCTAGCTCCAGAAAAAATTACTGATTTTTTTGTGATTTCATTAAGCGTATAAATTAACTTTAAAAGAAATAGTATATTTATGATGTTAAGTTTTTCTATCCAAGCACATGGTTTCCTTTCCATTTGCTCAAGTCAATTTTGCTTCCTTCAATAGTATTTCATGAGTTTTCCTCAAGTAAGTCTTAGACATTCATGTTAAGTTTATAACTATTTTACTGTCATATTGCTATCATGTCAGATCATCTCTTCCACTTTATCTTCTCTCTGGTTTTTTGTCTGTATATATTAAAGATATGGAGTTTTTGTGTTTATTTTTTAAAGCTTTATTTTTTTATAGCAATTTTAGGTTCACAGAAAAACTGAGAGGGAAGTACAGAGATTTCCCAAATACCCCCTGCCCCCAACACATGCATAGACTCTCCCATTATCAACGGCCCTCACCAGAGTGGTACATGTGTTACCAGGAAGAAACCTACATTGACACATCATAACCACCCAAAGTCTATAGTCTACATTAGGGTTCACTCTTGGTGTTGTACATTCTATGGATTTAGACAAATGTATAATAACATGTGTCCATCATTATAATATCATACAGAGTATTTTTACTGCCCTAAAAATGCTCTGTGTTCTGCCTGCTCATCCCTCCTCAGCTCTGGCAACCACTGACCTTTTTACTATTTCTGTAGTTTTGCCTTTTCCAGAATGTCATATAATTAGAATCATAGGGTAGGTAGCCTCTTCAGATTAGCTTCTTTCACTTAGTAACATGCATTTAAGTTCATTCCATGTCTTTTCGTGGCTTGATAGCTCATTTCTTTTTAGTGCTGAATAATATTCCATTGTCTGGATGTACCATGGTTTAACCATTCACCTACTAAAGAACATCTTGGTTGGTTCCAGGTTCTGGCAATTATTAATAAAGCTCCTATCAACATCCATGTGCAGCTTTTTTGCGGAAATGTTTTCAAGTGCTATTAGTTTTTATACATTAATTTTATGACCTGCTATTTTACTAAATTCTTTTGTTTGCAATCATTTTTCCATTGATACTTTGGAGTTTTGCAGATAAATAATCACTGCATCTGACAATAAAAACTATTTAACTATTCCTTTCCAACTCTAAAGTCTCTAATTGCCTTCTCTTGTCTAAGTGCATTAGCTATACCTCCAACCCAATGTTAAATAATCTTGGAGTAGTGGGCATCCTTCTCTTCTTCCTGATTTTGGTGGCAAAGCCACTAGTGTTTTCCCTTAAGTAAGATGCTAGCTTTTGGGCTAAAGTATATTTCTTACATGTGGATAAGATCCATAAATTTCTTTTTTTTTTTATGTACCAAGAAATTTATCACAGTATTGTTGATAATGACAAAAATTTGGAGCCATTTGCTTACAATTTTAATTAAATTAAAAATGTTTATTTAACAGAAAGTTTTTTTTAATTTTTATTTTTTTCGGATGTACATCAAATTTCAAATTCTGGATACATTACATCATGTTCACCACCTGAACACTAATAATAGTGCATCCCCTCACATGTGACCCTAATCACCCCTTTTGCCCTCCCCCTTCCCCCTTCCCCTGTGGTAACCACCAGTCCAATCTCCAATGCTGTGTGGTTTTGGGTTTTTTTGTCGTTTTTATCTTCTATTTATGAGTGAGATTATATGGTATTTGACTTTCTCCCTCTGGCTTATTTCACTCAGCATAATACCCTCAAGGTCCATCCATGTTGTCACAAATGGCTGGATTTCGTCATTTCTTATGGCTGAGTAGTAGTCCATCGTGTATAGATACCACATCTTCTTTATCCATTCGTCCCTTGATGGGCACCTAGGTTGCTTCCAAGTCTTGGCTATTGTGTATAATGCCGCAATGAACATAGGGGTGCAAGTATCTTTATGCCTTTGTGTTTTCAAGTTCTTTGGATAAATACCCAGCAGTGGAATAGCTGGATCATATGGTAGATCTATCCTTAATTTTCTGAGGATACTCCAAACTGCTTTCCAGAGTGGCTGCACCAGTTTGCACTGCCACCAGCAGTGAACAAGGGTATCACCTCACTCCAGTCAGAATGGCTATAATTAACAAGACAGGAAACAACAAATGTTGGAGAGGGTGTGGAGAGAAGGGAACCCTTGTTCACTGCTGGTGGCAGTGCAAACTGGTGCAGCCACTATGGAAAGCAGTTTGGAGTATCCTCAGAAAATTAAGGATAGATCTACCATATGATCCATAAATTTCTTTTGTTTAGTGTTTTTAACATGAATCAACGCTAATTTTGTCAAAGTCCTTTTTTTCATCTATGGAGATAACTGCATAATTTCTCTCATTAGCTGTATTAACATGATGGATTATATTAAAGGATTTGCTAAAACTGATCCAAATTTATATTCCTGGAATAAAACTCTCGGGTCATGATATATTATTTTTTCTAATATTCATTTGGATTCAGTTGGTTAATATTCTATTTAAGATTTCTACATAAATATTTATATATACAGTTTTCTTTGGTACATTTTTATCAGGTTTGGGGAAATATACATACTTCATAAAATGAATCTGGAAGTGTTCTCTTGTTTGTTTGTTTTGCCGGCGTGCTGACGTTGTTTAAGTAATATGGAGACTGGCTGATGTTTAAAGTGTGGCAGAATTCCTCCAATCTGGCTGTGGGAGTACTCTTGTACTTTTTTCTATGATTAATTTATCTGTTTAGACTCTGTCTCCACTAGGGTCAATTTTAGTAAGTTGTATTCCCTTAATTATCCATTTTACCTAGAGTTTCATGTGTATTCGCTTAAAATTGCAAAAAAGTCTCTCGTAACTTTTAAAAATTTTCCCTCTTTAGAGGTCTTCCTCATAAGCATTCTAATTTCTCATATTTGTGTTTTCTTCCCTTTGCATTGACTAGATTAGCTGAAGCTTGTCTATTTTGCTGATTCTTTTTAATAAAAAAAGCTTTTTGTTTGCTCTATTATTTTGCAGTTTTTAATGCATTAATTTTGCTTTTCCCTTCTGACTAACTTCTTCCCTTTGCTTCCTTTTCATTTACTTTGTTTTCCCTTTTTCTGACTTTTTAGATGGGTGTTTAATTCATATATATATGGAGAAAAAAGAAAAACATAGAGACAATGTCTATATACATAGACTCAATAGATACCATAGAGAGACGATATAGTCTACATGTATACACAGAGAGACAATACTATAAATTTTCATCTAATAATTGTTTTAGCTGTATCTCATAGATTCTGATATAATGTGTTAACTATGTTTATTTTAACAAAACTCTATAATATTATTTTGCATTTTTCTTTGACTCAAGGGTTGATTAGGCGCATGTGTGGTGATGGATTGTCATTAGTCTTTGGGTGGTGAAGATGATGTAATCCACACAGAAATCGAAATATATAACAACGTCCACCTAAAATTTATATAATGTTATAAAACAACGTAACCGCAATAAAAAAGAAAGAAAGAAACTAATTTTTTAACTTTCAGGTGGAATAGTATTTGGGGGTTTTTTAATGAATTTTTCTTAAATATGTGCATATAATCAAAGAATGTTCTTTTATTATTTCTATTAGTTAGTATTTATTTAGATTTTCTTTGTGACCTAAGATACAGACAATATTTTTAAAGGTTTCATATGTCCTTGAAAAGAAGGTATATTCTCTATTACTGGAATTCACAGATCAGTATATATCTATAAGATCTGCTGTACTGGCCGTATTATTTAGGTCTTTTAGAACCTTGAGAATTTTGGGTCCATTTGATATGTCTTAGATATGTCATGTATTAAAGGCACCAATCATTCATGTGAATTTCTGTATGTCTCCTTGAACCTCCGATATTTTCCGCCTTGTAAATGTATTGCTGTACTGTGTACATAAATATTAATCATTTGTGGATTAATTATCCTTTAGCATATAAAGTGTCCTTTTTTTTCCTAAAGATTGGCACCTGAGCTAACTGTTGCCAATCTTCTTTTTTCTTTTTTTTTCTTTCTGCTTTTTCTCCCCAAATCCCCCCAGTACATAGTTGTATATTTTAGTTGTGGGTCCTGCTAGCTGTGGCGTGTGGGATGCCGCCTCAGTGTGGCCTGATGAGCAGTGTCATGTCCGCACCCAGGATCCAAACCAGCAAAACCCTGGGCCATCACAGCGGAGCACGTGAATGTAACCACTCGGCCACAGGGCCAGCCCCTAAAGTGTCGTCTTTTGTCTCAATACTTTTTGGTGTGAATGTTACCCTTATCAAATACCTGCTTACTTTCCTTTTTTTTTTTTTTTTTTTTGCTTTTGCTTTTACCTGCTGTATTCCTGTCCAATTTCTAATTTTATTAAGATTTAATGAACTTTTTATTTTAGAATAGCTTCAGATTTACAGAAAAATTACAAGAATATCACAGAGAATTATTCCTCTGTACTTTGCACCCAATTTCCCCTATTTTTCACATTATATAGCATATTTGTCACAACTAATGAACTCATGCTGACACATTATTATCATTTGAAGTCCACACTTTCTTCAGATTTCCTTAGTTTTTACCTTTCTCTGTTGCAGGATCCCATCTAGGATGCTCCATTACATTTAGTCGTCACATCTCCTTAGGCTTCTCAAGACTGTGACAGTTTCTCAGACTTTTCTTGTTTGTGACAGCATTGACAGTTTTGAGGAACAAAGGTCAGGTATTTTATAGCATGTCCTTCCAGTCTAGCTTGTCTGATGTTTTTCTCATGGTTAAACAGATTTTGGGTGTGTAGAAGGAAGACCATAGTGGTAAAGTGCCATTCTCGTCACATCATATCAAGGACACATGCTACCAACATGACTCATTACTGATGATGTTAAATTTGATCATCTGGCTGATGTAGTGTTTTTCAGGTTTCTCCATGATAAGATTCCTCTTCCTCCTCACCCACTCTTCTCCATATTGTGCTCTTTAAGAGTGAGGTTACCAGATCAATCCCACACTTGAGGACTGGGCAGTTCTGTTCCACCTCTTTGAATGGGGAGTATCCACATAAATTATTTGGAATTCCTTTTTACAGGAGATTTGTCTGTTGTTCCCCATACACTTATTTATTCAGTCCTTTATTTACATCAGTGTGGACTCATGAATATTTGTTTCATCCTTTGGGTTATAATCCAACACAACATTCTTTTCTTGTTCAAATTGTTCCAGCTTTGGCCATTGAGAACTCTTTCAGTTGGCTCCTGTGTTTGTTTGTTTTTGAGTACTTCCTTCCTTTCTGGAACTACAAGATACTTCAGGCTTATCTTGTATGTCCCTTGCCCTAGTCCTAGAATCAGCCACTTACCCAAGGAGCCCTGGTTCCTTTTACAGGAGAATGGTATCAGAAACCAAGATCTGGACACTGAGCGTGTTTGTTACTATTGGGGTGTTTTGCTTCTAGACCCTCTCAGAAGACAGAGCTCAGAAACATGTGTGCTACTAACCAGTAATACACATATATCTATAATTTGTGTGTACATTTATAAATATATAAAATCTGAATCCATATTAAGCTAAACATGAGTACATCCTGATATTTCTCTCATCCATTATCATACAGCTCACTCAAGCCTTCCTCTCTTGCTTGTCTGTAACCTCCCACTCTAACAATGAGAAATCTGACTCCCATCAGCTGTCATCCATTTGCTTATTTGTTCAATCCCATTATACATAATTGATAGTTTCTGAACTGTTAACGAAGAGTACAGTCCTTATATGCAATTTCTTTTGTGTTTAGTCTTTAGTCTTACAGTCTCCACCATTCATTTCCAAAGTTACTTAGGTCACCGACCCCTAAGACCCCATCCCCTTCAGGAGGGTTATGTCATATATTTATAATACAGTTAGATTTTGTCGGTCTACATTTCATCCTTGTGTCTCCCAACCTCCTAATTGATTTTTTCAAATTTTGCATAGATTAAGCTTCATTGTATGGATTTTTGCATTGTGTCATGCATCCACCACTACAGTACCATACAGAATAATTTTAGGGCCATAAAAAAATTTCCTATGCTTAGGATTTTTAGGGCAGTGAAAATACTGTGTATGACACTATAGTGATGGATACGTGTCATTATATATTTGTCCAACTCCATAGAGTGTACAGCAAGAGTGAAGTGTAATGTAAACTATGGACATTGGGTGATTATATTGAGTTAATGTAGGTTCATCAATTGTAACAAATGTACCACTCTGGCGGAGGATGTTGATAAAGGGGGAGGCTGTGAATGTGTGGGGGCAGGGAGTATATGAGAAATATCTATACCTTCCTTTCAATTTTGCTGTGAACCTTCTGACTATCAACAAGATTGGAAATCACTGAATTTGAGTACCTATAAAACAAGGTCTAATGCTAAAAGGATAAGACGGGACCTCTAAGGTTCTAACGACTTCTAAGTTAGAAGTCAACAGATATTTAGGTGGTTTTGGGGAAAATGTGGAGGTGGTGAGCAATCCAGGAAGAGGAAAATGTATTAGTAAAGAGCAAGAGCTGAAAGAAAGGAAGGTCAGCTCCTGAAAATAAAAGGTTAGTCTTACTAAAACATAGAGTGCAAGAGAAAGAGTGGCAGGAACGAGAGAGTTAAAAAGAGGCCACAGCATAAAGCCATATGAAGATCGAACTTTACCCCAAGAGTAATGAGAAGCCATTGAAGGGGTTTTAAGCATGGAGGAGACGTGAATGGAGTTTTCAGAAGAACTGATTTAGATACAATGGAGAAAATTAACTGGAGAGAAAGCAGGACTGAAGACGATCTGCACCCTTGGGATGACTACTATAACCCATGCAACAAATGATGGTGGCCTGAACTACAGCACAGCTGGGGAGGAAAAGACCATTAGTCGTAGGTAAAATATACACAGAAGTAGAACTAACAGAAGTAAGTGATGACTGGATATAAGATGTATAAGGAAAGGAAAAGCAAATGCACCAGAATCAATTTAACTCATATGAATTCCCTGAGCTCTATATTTTGGATTCAACATATTTATCTACAACTGTTCAGGAATTCTCTAAAAATATTGAGGTTAAAAGATAAATGTTTACATTTTATTCAAAATTGTCAGAGCATTTACATAATACTGATGATAATATGTAAATAGATATTTAAATTCATAATAAGTAAAAATGACTTGGACAGGCTCATTTCACAGTATGTCACATTCCTTGTCATTCCAGTTTTGGTCTGCTCTAAACCTACCCATCTCCCTCTATCATTGGAACAACTTCACAGTGTCTTCAGAACCTAAAACAACACTGAGCCCGTTAAAGTCACCAACAGAGACTGAGCTGAAAATAAAGAGAATCAAGGAGAAACTAGACCAGCTGATCCCACCCAGACCTTTCACCCATGTGAACACCACCACCAGTGCAGCGCACAGCAGAGTCACCATCCTCAACCCTCAAGACACATACTGCAGGGGTGATCAACTAGACATCCTGGTGGAGGTGAGGGACCACCTGGGACGCAGGAAGGAATATGGCGGGGATTTCCTGAGGGCCAGGATGTCCTCTCCGGCCCTGAAGGCAGGCGCTTCAGGAAAGGTGACAGACTTTAACAATGGCACCTACCTTGTCAGCTTCACTCTGTTCTGGGAGGGCCAGGTCTCTCTGTCTCTCCTGCTCATCCACCCCAGTGAAGGGGTGTCAGCTCTCTGGAGGGCAAGGAACCAAGGCTATGACAGAGTGATTTTCAAAGGTAAATTTGTTAATGGCACCAGCCAAGTCTTCACTGAATGTGGCCTGACCCCAATATCAAGTGCTGAACTGTGCGAGTACCTGGAGACTCGAGACCAAGAAGCCTTCTACTGCGTGAGACCTCAACACATGCCCTGTGAGGCCCTGACTCACATGACCACCAAGAATCGAGAAATTTCTTATCTTACTGTCAAGGAAAAAAGCCTTTTTAACAGGTAAGCATACTTTTAGGTACACTGAGAGGTGCCTACAGGCAGAGCTACATTGCCCATCTCAGTTAACATTGAGCATGACCCTCTCGGATGCCTCTTCTACTCAAAGTCTGCTGAGACATGTGGTGTCTTCATGAGCCCCCTGTCCATGACTCTCACTGCCAAGGTTGGCATTCTCACTGAAATGTTCAATAAAAGAGGGCTACCCAAGGTGGAAATCTATTATACATGCCTGTACTTCTCCATGATGACCAGTATTCTCAGGTTCAGTCATGTCTTTTACTGTAGACCTAGGTTTTATAAAACATGTTCAGTGTAAAAGTATTCTGCTATGTGTTAATAGATGTTACAGCAAAAAAGGATTCCTTGATAAGTGTGTGATAACCTCCATGCTCCTTCATCCCCCATATCATATTCTGTAGATTCTGCCTTTAAATATCTTTTGTACTCATCCATTTCTCTCCATGCCTAGTGCTGCTATTTGAGTTCAGATCCTCATCTTATCATCTAGACTATTTGTCATAGCTTCCCTCCCACCAATCCTACCCTCTCTAAACCACTGTCCACACTGCAGCCTGAGTAATATTTCCAAAAAGACAATTCCTACTGGTCATCTCCAGTTGATCTCAAGATCAGATATTCCTCAGTATGTGCTGCTCAGGTTGCAGGAGTCCTTCAAACTCCCCAAATCGTGATCCAGTGATTCTTGGAAGCCCCTGGTTGAACAGGACTCCACAAACTGGGGAGCAAGCACGTTTCTCCTATCAATTATGGCTGCATCAATGCCATGCCTTTCTCCCCTTGCTCATAAACAGATGCTCACTTCCTGGTCTCCCAGTTCTCCACCAAGCTGGAAAACACTTCATTGCTTAGAATGAACTATCAGGGTCTCGTCCTAAGCCACTTTGAGAATCTGCAAAGGGTAGCTATGTGCCACCACAAATCCCAGAACCTGTGGGCTAAGCCCTGGGATGACCTATCCATTTCAGACTCTCTTGCTTCTTTGCTAACTTTCTGTAAGTCTCAGGCTCAGTCCATCTCTTTTTCCCTTCCATTCTGCAACTATCCATTTTTTTTTCCTGGGGATTCAATTTCCCTAGTGACAAAGTGGAATGCTAGGTTCTCACAACCCCTTTCTTAGCAGTTTTCAAAGTCAAGCTTAGTCTTTCTTCCTTAAGCTTTCAAAAAATATGCCAAGAGAAAGTATGGATAACAACCATGGAAAAATAACATGCATTCCACATCTCACATAGTTGTCCAAGTGTTGGCTCCTGATATATAGTCCCTGACTCCCTTCTGAAATAAGTAAAAGCACATTGGCTTTCTGTTTTTTCCGTTTGATCTCTGATGGTGCAGCTCACCAAATCTCCTCCTACCCACTAACCATCTTTAGAACTAAGTCCCGGCAAAATAAGGATGAAAATGTGCTGCTCCCTTCCCTTCTCCAAAGTGAACCTCAAGAGACATCCATAGCAGAGAATTGGGTACCACTTATATCTGTTGTACCTGGTACGTGGGTCCCCATTCCCCTTGTAGCCCCTTTCTGCCTGCCACCACTTACAGACACATGTACACAGGTTTGAAACAGCGAGTCAAAGAGAAGGTAAGAGCTTCAAAGCAGGGAGAGTGAGGTAGTCTTTCGTTAACTGGAGGACAGAAATGCAATGTATATTAATTCATGCATCAGACTGAACACGACTTTCTGCCAGCCACTTTGATAGATAGTAGGGAGACAGCAGTGGACTAGGCAAATGCATTATCTTCCTTCATGCATATCTTCCTTACAATCTTCAGAAAGCAAGTTTCTAGGGCAAATGGAAGGTAAACACAGCAGAAAACATGGATAAAGAGGGAAGTAGGAACCCTGTGATAAGGGGTCTTCATGCCAAGCTAAGGAGCCTGAACACCTTAGGTAAGTGATGGGAATTTTAAATAAAGGATTTTAAGCAGGAATGCAATTGTATTTGCAATTAGAAATGGTGTTCTTGCAGTTATGTTGAAGAAAATAGGTGGGCTAAAACTGAGAGAGCCTGGCCAATTAGAGGCTCACAATAATCCAAGGAAAATACTGTATGAACTCGCATAAGTGATGTGGAAGCAGCAAAAGAGAAGAGAACTTGCCGATTAGATAAATACGTTGAATCTAAAATTCCAGGACACACTGATTGCATGTGGCAGATGAGTAGAGCTACCCTGGATTTTAGGTGCTCTCAGAAAGTTAGACAGTTTTCCAAAATCCCAATTCATATGCAATGCCCAATGCGTACAAAATTTAAAAGAATACTACTTTCCAACTGGAGAAAATTTTAAATTATCCTTCACTCACAAGCAGGTGACTTCTATTACTTGTATCCTGTGGACAGACATTAGGTTAATTTACTGTTTTATTTCTTGAAGGTCCAATGTCGGAGTTGAAATGATGAAACATCTTGAACACATTCACGTCTCCCAATGTTACCGTAAGTCTGCTCTGTCCTGTGGTAGATGGTGCTTGGCATGCATCTTCTGAGAGACAGTATTATGAAGAGGAAAGTTTGTCAGTATCAATCCTAGTAATCATGGTTTTCCTGGAGCATAATTCTTAGCAGGTGTCTATGGTGTCAATTGCTTTGGATTTTAAAGAGAGAAACCAATTCACAGAAATTATTTCAAACTGTTTTTATAACAGATTTCATCTTAATTTACCCAAAAGGAGGAAGTATTCATATCCTACATTCATATTTAAACCTGGGAGTGCGTCTCCTAAGTCAGCGATTCTGTCTAGGGCACTGTGCAAACGTCTCTGATGGACACCCACAGCTTCAGAGTAGGAACATTTGGGTTTGGTTATCCTAATTCTCTGTTGGAATAACATCTTAACCTTTAGTGGAGGGACTTAGCAATTTTATATAGAGACTCCATTTCATTAAACATGTTTTAGTGGCAAACACAAGCTATGTTACCGATGAAGAATAATGTTTATACTACCTTAACCTTCTTTAAAGCCTACCTGAGTTTACCAATAACATTCATTTGGAGATTTGCTTCAACGAATGATTTCTTGCCTAAATTTATTCATTTACTCAGCCAATGTTTGTTGAGGTTCTAATAGATATGAGGCATTACGGACAAATGGAGAAAAATAAATGTTTAGCAAGGCTGCCATCTGAAAGACATTCAACCTACTAATTCTATGAAGACAGTAAAAAAGGCAAAAGGGCTTATGCTGAAGTTGGTATTTGACTTAGCCCTGAAGAATACCTATAGACAGATAATTAAGTAAAGGGAAAACTCATAAAGACCATGAGTAGCGTTGCCAGGTTTAGCAAATAATAATACAGGGTATCAGTTAAATTTGAGTAATTTCTAATTGCTTATGCATGTTACATGAGATAAAGGGAAAATATTGCAGGAGAAATACACAAAAATTATTCCTTGTTAGAAATAATTCCAATTTGGTATCCTGTATTTTTAATCTGATAACTGTAGTCATGAGCAAAATTATCGTGAACTTCGTTCAACAGGCCAATGGAGTGAGAGCATTTGATGGAATGTAGCAAAGGATGAGGCTAAAAGGAGAGGAAGAAACTAAATCATAGAGGTTCTCAAGTACCATGCTGAGGATTTTAGGGTTTATTCAGAAGGCTTTTGAAAGCTACAAAAATCAATTAAGGAAGAGAGTGATATGATCCACTTTGTGCTTTAAAAAACACAAATTCACAGGGCCAGCCTGGTGGTGTAGTGGTTAAGTTTGTGTGCTCAGCTTTGGCGGCCCAGGGTTCGCAGGTTCAAATCTCAGGTGTGGACTGAGGCACAGCTCATCAAGCCATGCTGTGGCGGCATCCCACATACAAAATAGAGGAAGATGGGCACAGATGTTAGCTCAGGGCCAATCTTCCTCAGCAAAAAGAGGAGGATTAATGACAGATGTCAGCTCAAGGCCAATCTTCCTCACACACACACACACAAAAACTAATTCACAATTTTTAAAGAGTACATGATCTATAGAAAGACAATTTAAAATGTTGCTGAAGGATATAAGATAAAATCTAGGTAAATAGAAGAAAAATATTATTTCTGAATGGAATGACTTGCTATTGAAAAGATGTCAGACATCTCTGTATCATTTTCTTATTGAGTGGCTTAAAACAACCAAAATGCATCATCTTGCAGTTCTGTAGTTCAGTAGTCAAACGTCTCACTGAGCTAAAATCAAAGTGTAGAAGCCACATTCCTTTCTGGAGGCTCCCGCATAGACTGTGTTCCAGGCCTTTTCTGGCTCACCACATTCCTCACAGCCCCCTTTCTCCATTTTTCAAAGCTGCAACAGTGGGTCAAGTACTCACATCACATCTTTCTGAACCGTTCCTCCACCTCCCTCTGGTACTTTTGAGGACTGATGAGATTTAGATTGTTCCCACCGGATAATACAGGATAATCTCCCATCTCAAATCCATACCCTAAATCACATGTGGAGAGTCCCTTTTGCCAGGGAGGGTAACATATTCACAGAGCCCAGCGATTAGGACTGGCTGTCTTTGGGTCGGGGGTGGGAGGGCTTTAGCCTGCCCACCACAGTCTCTAAACTAATCCACAAATATAATGGAATCTTAACACTATTACCAACATAGTGTTAAAAATACTCAAGCCTATTCTAAAATTATTAAGTAAATAAATATGTAAGACTAATCATAACAGAATTTCTTATATATTTCAAATAGCCCTGCAGAGCGCTTCGTTTGACACTTGGCAAAATGAATGCTTTGACCCATAAATTATACAAGATATGGTTTACAATAATAAGCTCAAAGGCTATCTTCTCACCAAATATACCAGTACATTCTTAGGATGGGGAATATTTAATAAGTATGGACCGTAAGTTTCCAGGGTTATGGTATTCAACCATCCAGGGTGCAATGCTGACAAGCCTCAAAGAAGCCCTATCACACTGAAATGCCAAAATAATTAGAGGATGATGAAAACTCTCTTTAGCAAGTCAAATCACCAGGACTTAATAGCTATTCCAAGTAATTCCAGATAAGAGCTATTCCAGAATTTTCCAATTCTGCCACCAGCACCATTTTGCCACTTTGTCCACAGGTTACAAACACAGTGGACATAGGCAGAGACTGCAAGGCCTTTGGGAGCTAAGCACAGAGAGTGAAGCAGAGACTGTGGGTGTTCTCCCAATATCCATTTCTTCCTCCCTCTTTAACAATAGAACCCCCTAATTTTAGCTGGACCCATGGTCACCAAGCTAAACGTCACAGCATTGTCTGCAGCTAGTTATGGCCGTGACTAGATTTTTGGCAGAATTGTGAGTGGAAGTGATGTGGGAAACTTCTAAGTCATGCCTTTAAAAGTAAAACAACTTGGCCGACCCTTTCATTTCTCCCCTTCCTACTGGCTGAATTGTACACATAACGGGGAGAGATGAAAAAGCCATGGTCGGCCATGAGACTGAAGTCATAGGTTAAAAACAGCACCTTGATTGTGGTGATGGTATCATGGATGTATGCATATATTCAAACTCATCAAACTGTATGCATTAATTGTGTGCAGTTTTTTGTATACCAATTATACCTCAATAAAGCTGTGGGAAAAAATAATAAAGTTAAGATTATTACCCCCTTTCCCCCCAAAAAATGGCAGAACAACAAGACAGAAGGAACTGGAGTCCCTGATATCATGAATATCATATTAGCCCTGGTCTGCTCACTCTAGGACTGTTACGTGAGGGATAAGCAAATTTATATTTTTAAATCATTATTATTTGCTTCCTATCTAATACAGAATGAGATATCGGCACAGAAGTGCTGATGTAACAAAACCTGCAATACAGGCATTGGCTGGGGCTGGGGGCCGCAGGGGGCGTGGCATAATAAGTGACAAGGAAACACACAGGTGAGAAATCTGATCATCTTGTTATGCCACAGCAAAACATTTGGTACCTGTGATGCGTTAGAAGGCAGACCATGTGCCACAGAGCCTGTAATTCTAAAGGAACTTGATGGAAAATCTCAAAATATTCGTTTGTGTTGGCTGCTGTATGGCACCTTTAGCAAAATCCTATTAAAAAATATTAATTCAAGCTAGGTATTTTACACTGTTTGAGGTTTTTGAAATGTGGACATAGTATCACATATTTAAGCCTTTTTTGAAAAATTAAAAATATTCCTATAAAAAAATTAATAGAAAAAATAAGATTATTGCTTCATTCCTGGAACAAAAGGTAAGTGATTTGATGCAAGGACACCAACTTGAAGACCACGAGTATTTAGGTTAGAGACAAAGGCCTAAGTCACCACAGAATCAGGAGGGATGGCAAAGAAATGACAGAACATCAGGACTTAGCTAATGACCAGATTTGGGAGAAAATGAACAGGGAAGAGTCAAGATACTCAAAGTCTCTCAAAAGAATGCGTAGAACTGCCTAAAGCAAAGCTGGTGATCAAAGAATGTACTAGGAAGGTAAGGAATTAGGAAATCGGAGTTAGAGGACGAGAGAAAGAGATCAAGAAAGGGAAGGACAGGGACCGGCCCGGTGGCGCAGCGGTTAAGTGCACACGCTCTGCTTCTTGGTGGCCTGGGGTTCGCTGGTTTGGATCCTGGGTGCGGACATGGCACCGCTTGGCACGCCATGCTGTGGCAGGCATCCCACATACAAAGTAGGGGAAGATGGGCACGGATGTTAGCTCAGGGCCAGTCTTCCTCAGCAAAAAGAGGAGGATTGGCTGTGGACGTTAGCCCAGGGCTAATCTTCCTCAAAAGAAAGAAAGAAGGCTGGATATTTAACTTATGCCAATAAAATCACTTACCACAAGTATCTCTGTTACCAGAGAGAGAAAACATAAAAGAGAAATGCCAAATTGGAATGAAGGTTCCTGTCCCTGGTGGTTACACTTTCGAAGGAAGGTGGATTACAACGTTTTGCAACCAGACTCAGTTTAATACAATTAAGATAAAAGACTGTTTGAAAGGAAAACTCATTTACCTCCTGGGAGACTCTACGCTGCGTCAGTGGATCTACTACTTACCCAAAGTTGTAAAAAGTATGTAATTATTTTTAAATCTTTTAGAAGTTCAAGCTGATTTTAAAATACTTTCAAGGCGATCTCTGTTCTTTCATTTGGCTGTCTTGTTTTTTACTTCATTTAGCTTTCTATATTTGAGCCTTTTAATTTAAAATATATTGTGTAGTATATTGTATTCCCTCTTTCACAAGAAATGTTCCTCTTTATAAACTCCAGTGAGAACTTTACATTTTGATTGACATTTCACATGTATGAACAGGTACTCTGCCCTAGAGGGTAGAAATGCTACAGTCAAAAATAATCTAGGTAGGTGACTACTTTAAAGGATAGGATATCCCTTTAAAAAATATTAATCATTGCCTTCTAGTTAAAAGATTTATTTTTTTTTATCAGCACTAAAATTTTTTGATCTTCATGGAACTGGACTTTTTAAGAAACATTTGCTCCTGGATGCAGAAAGACACACTCAAATTCAATGGAAAAAACATAGTTATCCTTTTGTCACAATGCAACTCTACTCTGTGATAGAAGAGGGTTATATTCCTCGGGAAATTGACCGGATACCAGGTGACAAAAACACAGCCATCAGCATCACACTTGGCCAGCACTTCAGACTCTTCCCCATTGACATTTTCATTCGCAGGGCCATCAATGTCCGCAAGGCTATTGAACGACTGTTCCTGAGAAGCCCAGCCACCAAAGTGATCCTTAAGACAGAAAACATCAGGGAGATGCATTCAAACACAGAAAGCTTTGGAGATTTCCATGGTTACATTCAATATCTTACCATGAAGGACATTTTCAAAGATCTCAACGTGGGTGTCATTGATGCCTGGGACATGACTATTGCATATGGCACCAATAATGTCCACCCACCTGACCATGTGATTGGAAATCAGATTAACATGTTCTTAAACTACATCTGCTAAAGCACAAACAACAAAATCTCTGTGGCCCAATCTCTGCAAATAACCCTGCTTGTTTTGTCCAAGAAGTTAATTTATTTTAGGGACTAAGAAAATCAAATTTAAGATAATCTGTCTGGGCAGGGAGGATGCTTAAAAACAAAGACAACTGGCATAGGATGCAAAGCCAAAAGAAAAAGACATGAAGAACGATTACACCAAGCTTGGAGCTTGTCTATGTATGATAATAAATGTTCTTATTCTTTAAGCAAGTTTGGGTCATGATTTCTGTTACTTGTGGCTGAAGTTGTACCTGATAATTTAGTAAGGTAAAAGACAGTAAACTTGTGATTGCCATGATGGTCTAAACAGAGGTCATCTAAGTTTTTCTGTAAAGGGCTAGACAGTAAATGTTTTAGGCTTTGCAAGTCATTTGTCACAACTGTTCAACTCTGCCATTGTAGCAAGAAAGCTGCCATAGACAACATGTAAACAAATAAGGATGGCTATATTCCAATAAAATGTGGACATTGAAATTTGAATTTCATATAATTTTCACGTCAGGAAACACTGTTCTTCTTTTAATTTCTACCCAACTTTGAAAAAATGTAAAAACCATTCTTAGATCATGGGCCCTAAAAAAAACATTGTGGATCATATTTGACCTCTAGACCATAGTTTGCCAACCCCCAGTTTAAAAGAAAAAACTTGATAAAATTGAACACAGATCCCTTGGAAGCTGAGGGAAAAACTAGTAACAAACTAGAAATAGAAGAAAACTCCCGTAACTTGAGAAAGGTTATCTACCAGAAAACTACAACAAATATCACTTAATGAATGAAACATAAACATTTCAGGAAGAAAACATGAATGCCTATCACTACTTCTATTCAATAATGTACTGGCAGTACATGTGAGAAAGGAACAGAAGTTGACTGTCCATGCTTATTTCATCATTCTTCTAGGAAAAAACTAAGAGGCTAGGAGTCAGCCCCATATGGTGTACTGGGTAAGTTCAGTGCTCTCCATTTTGGTGGCTAAGGTTCACAGGTTCAGATCCCAGGTGTGGACCTACATCACTCATTAGCCATGCTGTGGCAGCAGCCCACATACAAAATAGAGGAAGACCAGCACAGATGTTAGCTCAAGGCCAATCTTCCTTAAGCAAAAAAAGAGGAAGATAGATTGGCAACAGATGTTAGCTCAGGGCAAATGTTCCTCAGGAAAAAAAAACAAGCTGAGGCTAAATATAAGAATTTAGAAGATGACCTACAACAAGTTCAACATACAAAAATTAATAGTTTCCCCTCTGGGAAAACAGGATATCCATGTGGAAAAAAATAAAATTGGACCTCTACATTACACTATTCACACACACACAAACTGTTCAGGGAGATCATAGACTTAAATGTGAAAAGCAAGGCGATAAAGCTTCTCAAACAGTACATCTCACACTATCTGTGGTAAAGAGCCACTTTTTATTTTTTTACTATTATTAATTTTTTTTTAGTGAGGAAGGTTTGCCCTGAGCTAACATCCATTGGCAAACGTCCTCTTTTTTTTTTTTTTTTTGCTTGAGGAATATTATCCCTGAGCTAACATCTGTGTCGGTCTTCCTCTATTTTGTGTGTGGGTTGCCTTCACAGCATGGCTGATGAGTGGGGTAGGTCCACGCCCAGGATCCAAACCCACGAATCCAGACCACCAAAGCAGAGCACAAACTTAACTAATATGCCACGGGGCCAGCCCCCAAGTAGTTTTTTAATTGGGAAAGATTTAATATTCCCTCAGTTTACCCATAACTTTATAACCTGAGAGAGCAAAGTAAATGAGATAGAGTTAAACCTATTTTGTCTTAATTTGTGTCTCCAACTAAATTTTAAATTACTCTTGAGTAGGGATCTTGCCTTGAATGCCTCTTACTATGCCCAGCGCAAGACAGGTCCTAAAATGTTTGTCAAACAAGTGGATACATTGTTCAGTACATTTTGAAGAAATATCATGGTTTCTTAAATGCTTAAGGGTTTTTTTTTTTTTAAATGTCAGTCTCCATCCCTTGTGACCAGCTGGGTCTTGGAGGATAGGGTGACTATGGAATGGAAAAGTCTCCTTCCAAACTATACAGTAGTCTCCCCTCATCCATGGGGGATATGGTCCAAGACCCCCAGAGGATGCCTGAAACCACAGATAGTCCTGAACTCTATAGATACTATGTTTTTCCTATACGTACATACCTATGATAAAGTTTAATTTACAAATTATTCACAGCAAAATAATAAAATGGAACAATTATAACAATATACTATAAAAAAGTTACATGAATATGGTGTCTCTCTCTCTCAAAATATCTTACTGTACTGTACTCACCCTTCCTTGTGATGATGTGAGATGATACAATGCCTATGTGATGAGATGAAGTGAGTGAATGACGTAGCCATTGTGACATAGCATTAGGTTACTATTGACCTTCAGAAGGAGGATCATCGAGCCATTAGGATGTTGATGGTTGGATGTCAGCAGCAGAGGATGGCTGCAATTGGTTGACTGTGAACAACTGAAACCTCGGAAAGTGAAACTGTGGATAAGGGGGGACCACTGTATACACAAAGTAGACTCAAGAGCTCCCTGAGCTGCCCCATAGGACAACTCTGGCTGATGGGACAAAATCTAGGAGTTTCATGGTGCTCAGCCTCTGCACCATCCCCTAGGGTCGTACTCACATACAGTAACAACACCTGCCCCACCACCACCACCACACAGACACACATACATTCACACAAATTTGAAGGTGGGTATGGAAAAGTTAGATCATAGACTTGAGAGTCAGATTGCCTGGATATGAATCTTGACACTGGCAGTTATTAATTTTATGGCCATATGCAAATTACTTAACATCTTCCTGCTTCATTTTCTAATCTATAAAATGAATATAAGATAGGACCTACCTCACAGAGTTAATTGTTTCCCCATATTCACTGAATAAGTAGGTAGCTGGCTAAGTCTTCATCCTCTCCCGAAACTCCTTCCACTGCCCTGAAAGAATTTAGATCCCACATCCAAACCAATTCAAGCCTCGAGCCTCCTGGTGAGTTTTCATTCCAAGTACCAGTAACCTTCACATCTAACGTATTTTGACAACCCATTTTGAGGGCCACACCTTGAACCTTGCTATCACCCAACTAACATCTCACACTTTCTAACCACCAACTCCTAATCTTCTATATTTCTTATACTCTCACTCTCATTACACCTCCCAGAAATGTTGAATTCACTCACTGATTCAGTAAACAAAAATATACTGAATGCCTCTTCTGTCCCAGGCATGTTTCCATGATTCTTCCATTTTCTTTCACCTTATAAGACCTCTTCTAGTCCAATTTCCTTTTCTTCTCAAAGTAGGTTCTGTATTCATTACTTGAACTATTTTCTCCCCTAAACCCTCAAATTCACTGAACACATGTTTTTCTGTTTGGGTCTCCGTTTCCTTGAAGGAAAGCATCTATTAATTCTAAATTTGTCCTTGGACAGTTTCATCTTTCTGAAGGTTAAGGAAGCAATAAGCAAAATAGTTTCACTAGTTATCAGACATTACTGTAGGATACAAGTTAATTTGTATTCTCACATCAAACCTCATATCAAATAAATCTCAGATTATTTATAGATTCAGCCTTTTTTTAAAAATCCAACTGTTACAACAAACTCAGGGGATATGGTCCCTATAAACCTCTTTTTTTAAAAAAATGTAGAAGACCAACTTCAGCTAAACAAGAGATAAATGGTAAAACCTCCTACAAACAGAATGATGACAATTACTGAATCCACTTAACCATGGTACTAGCCAAAAACATGATAAAACTACCGAGATTAGGGTTGGAAAACAGAATGTAAATATTATAAACTGTGACAATGTAGAAATGTTGTAAATAAGAAAAGTTGGAGGAGGACAGGTGGAGAAATTCCTTATCATTTTTAGCCTGGTATTAAAAGATACTTTTTAAAGCTAATAAGTAATATACATATGCATGAATATATACACATATATTAAAAATACATCTTTTAATAAACAAGTTATATATAACAATATATACTATTATATATTATATATATTTATTATTTATATTATATTTATTGTATATATTTATATAATATAGTATATACTATGTGCTATAATATTTAGCATATACTACATTATATATAGTACGTATAATAACATATATGCAGTATATACAACATATAATATACTATATATACTATATATGGTGATATATACGACTATATATGACATATATAACTTGTTTATTAAAACACATATTTAAGGAAATAAGGGTAAACACAAAGATACATAATTTTGGTCTCTGCTTATAGTAGAGAGTCAATAGATATTGCTGAAGAAAGAGAAGATGAAATATTTTATATAAATTTATTGTAGATATAAACTTATACGTTACATGAAGACAATTGCTAGAACAAAAACACAAACGTTTTCACTTTTTAGAACACAGACAATCAAATGCTGTTAAATTTCAACCCACTAACTCCATTTCCAGGGTATCTGTACAAGATTACTAAATTCAACCCTGTATTAGCAGAAGACTAGAAAAATCTGTATGTCCACTGACAGGGAGGTTAAAGAATGACATCCATACTATGCAATAATGTGTGTCCATCCTAATGGATGACTGAGACAGCTCAATATATACTGAAATGAAAACATATTCAAAAGATATCCTTCTTAAAAAAGCAAGGCACACAACAAATTGGACAGCCTAGAAGAAACGGATAAATTCTTAGACTTGTACAACATCCCAAAACTGAATCAACAAGAAATAGAGAATTTGAATAGACCAATCGCAAGTAAAGAGATTGAAACAGTAATCAAAAACCTCCCAAAAATAAAAGTGTAGGACCAGATGGCTTCTCTGGAAAACTCTACCAAACATTCAAAGATTTAATATCTATGCTTCTCAAATGATTACAAAAAATTGAAGACAGAATGCTTCCTAACTCATTCTATGAGGCCAACATCACCCTGATACAAAGACCAGACAAGGACAACACAAAGAAGGAAAATCAAGGCCAATATTGCTGATGAACATAGACACAAAAATCCTCAACAAAATATTGGCAAACAGAATACAGCAATACACTAAAAGGATCATACACCATGACCAAGTGGGATTTATACCAGGGATGCAGGAATGGTTCAACATCTGCAAATCAATCGATGTGATATACCACATTAATAAAATGAGGAATAAAAAACACATGATCA